CCGGTGTTCCTCTTTCCCTTACTCTCCTTACTTTTTCCTGCGATAATTTTTACGAAAAACGTACATTCTTGAAAACAACTCTATTCACCCCCCCTCTAGAGTTGCACATTTGTCTAACATATTCATGTGTTCCAACCAAGAACATTATCAATTATCCAAGAACATAAGATTCAAATCTATTGATATAATCTAGCATTAGATGTTCACATACTCACATTGAATTTGACAAAGAACTAACGACGAATGAGTTGGCCTAGCAGGCAGTGGTTATGGCGCAGGGGACGACGACTCGTATTTCTTATTTTCTTCCTCTTCTCTTCTTCTTCTTCTTCTTCTTCTTCTTCTTCTTCTTCTTCTTCTTCTTCTTCTTCTTCTTCTTCTTCTTCTTCTTTCCTTGCTTCGACCCTGTTCCGGCTGAAGTGTTGAAACACGGGTTTATCGTGTTTTCGTACTAAAGCCGTGTTCGTTTTTATGACAGGTTTTGATAATGCCAAACCGCCGTGAACGAGACAAGTTATTGAATATACAAGGCGAGAAATATAAGAAGAAAGCAAGAGAACAAGACCCAAAAGAAGACCAAGAACGAAGACCGTAGTCTTAGTGTTGTTGAGTCGGTCATAATTGTGATCAAGACCGACCCAACCTTTACACCTTGGCTCTTTAGGCTAAAATTCTTTTCATTGCATTTCACACATCATAAAAATGTTTTTCAAACATGTTTAAAACATTAAAAACACTTGGTGTTCGCCCAAACCAAAAATCAAGCCATCTGGCGTTCGGGTTTCAGAAACCGGCGTTCGGCATTCGGTTTTCGGCGTTGGTTTTTGGCGTCCGAACTAACCAAGTGGTTTTCAACTTTTTATGATTGGTTTTTACTTCTGGGCACATTTAAATAGTTTTCCATCAAAAACACTTCAAAAACCACCTTTCGTTTTTTGTCGTTTGATAAAAACCACGCGAAACGACATAAACTTGGCTAGCCGTGGTTTTCACTTAAATGAAGTGGTTTTCGAGTCTTTTTTGTGGGAATTGTTTTTGAATGCATTT